TCATGTGCTACGTCACGTGGGACGTCGCGGGGTAGGTCTCGACATATTAACTTTCTGGAACATCTACAATTTTATGGGAGATGGTGCATATTAAAAAAAGTAGTAGCATGAAATGCTTTTATAGTAGAAGAACGAAAAATGAAATGTTCTAGCATCGCTAGATCATTTCATTTTTCTTCGTGGAAGCGAAATCTAGCTATAAATCCGTTTCCCGTTCCCTTATAGTTCCAACATTAAAAATCTCTCCTCCGGTGACCTTGTTAGCTAAATATGGATAGGCCACCCCAACTCCACATTGTGAAACCACATTCCACCACTTCGACGCTGGCTCAATCTGGGCTGGCTACACGTACCCACCTACACATTCTACCAACCTTGCCAACACTCAATGTAGGTCCAATGTTTCATACTGTCGGGGAGTTTACCTGCGTCCCCTGAGGCCTTCGCCCCCCCCCCCTCCCGCCCCCCACCGAGAAATATTCAAGATCGTTGTAGTTTACTTTGGGTACTGTATGACGGAAGAATATGAGAATATGTAGCGATGAAGTCAAATGGGGACAATCGTCCCAGTTTCTACTTTTCAGAGTTCCTGGTGAGGACTATCGTGGTAGGTGATGCCTCACGCCAGTAGCGTATTTTACGGGGGAGCAGAAGGGGCAAGTGTCCCCCGGCACCCCGGGACAGAGTCTGGAGCCCCCTTGGAGGTACTGCAATAACTTCCTCCCCTGACATCGCTCGGGTGGGATTTCCCGCTCTGTTGCCCCCCCCCCCCCCCCCCCCCCCCCCCCCCCCCCCACCCCCCCCCCCCCCCCCCCCCCCGACCCTTCAGCCAAAATACGCCACTGCCTCACGCGCGATTTGAGGTAAAGCCCCTGTGGTATTTTTCGGGGGGAGGAGGCGGTTTCTTCACAAAAATCACCTGAGCGAGCGACTTCGAATTTGATTGAGACATGTCATAAGGGTACCGTATGGAGGAATATTGCTTTTAGATTAAATCTTCGCGGGTTTCAAAACCACTCATTTCAAGATCAAATAGTGAATGGAACGATATCGTTTATTCACGAACTATCAAGATCACTGATTGAAGGACGTGTTCTCGACAGTGGCAATGATAGTTACAGGAAGAACGAATTCCTAAGATTCCTGTCAAATTACAAGGTACAGCCACTCTACAATATCCTCCAAAAACTGGTTTATGCTTTCACCATTATTGAATCATAAGGCGAAACATTGGATGTCGTTGGGTTGGAATTACGAAATGATATCTTCGATCATTGACAATTGTATGGAACGTTAGATAAAGCTAGAAGAAGGGATTCCATTAAAATTCTTGCGCTGAAATAAAGATATAAAAATTTGGATGGAGCCCCCATATAGTCAAGTTAGTCTATAATTAATTATTAGATTAAAATTCTCAGACGCTAGGGTCATATATGCTACTATTATGTATTATTAGTGTTTTAGTAGGTTTATCAGAATATTTATGCCAACAAGAGAGTGTCGGTCGTACGCAGCTAAGTAGAAACGTACAAGGAACAAATGTACAACGTACAAATGTGAAACGTACATATTTTTGTCCTTCGGGTCCGCATACGTACCTAACGTACGTACCTTTGTGCGGATGTGGTCCAGACGTATACAAGGGTACATTGCAGACGATGTCCCCAATACGATACTCAAAATAGGCATATGATGGCGTTTATGTTCGCCTGAACATTCCAATTAAGTTAGGAGGCACCGGACCTTAGGAGAAGAGTTTTCTTTATTTCCCTGTATTCATCTCATCGTGATACTTGTAAATTAGTATTTGGTAAAAGTATAATTATCATGTTTCAATAGCAATCAATGATTCGGGAAAATTTAAAATGCTGGGGGTTAGCACGAGGACTGCGAAGGGTAAACTGACAGGTTAGGAGAATTTACTCTCCGACAATTGAGCGGTCAATTTTCAATAAACTTAAATTTAAACAAAATTTAAATTAGTGTGGGCTTGCAATCTACCGTCTCCATGATAACTGGAGAAAGTACTGTTTATGCGACAGCCAGCACGTCCTGCTATGCGGAAAGTCATGAGGTGTCACATTGAATATTTTCTCATATCTGTTTTTATTTTAACACTTCATTAATAGTCATTTGGTAAACTAACACCAGTGGGTGTCGAAGGCGCGAGAGTTGCGAGTTCGTCTGCCTGAAGGACAAGCCACGAATCACAAGTAAATATTGGAGGTGAAAAGGAGAAACTACTTTGCGACATGATAGTCTAGTCTGCTCGGGAATTGGATCACCGCCGACGAAGTCGCCTGGTAAGACTGCTTTTTTGAAATGAGCTGCTAAGCAAGCAGATGCTACGTTCTGGCATGTGCATTTTGTTGCTATTAAATTTCTTGAAAGCATCCGAGGGGAAAAAAAAACTATCAGTAAGAAGAAAACAGTCTCGAGGGTACGAGGACGAGCGTAAAAGAAATATGTCATTCGTGAAATCCAATAATCCTGTTATATCAGCCTATGATGCGCAACGTAGGTTCAGAACTGAAATTTCCCACTTTGCTGTTGACTGAGCACAAAAGAAAATTAGATTGTTTTCAGCTGTTCATTGACAATATGCCAATTTTTATCATTCTCGTGCAACTTGAAAGTTATTGAAAATGTGGAAGTTATTGCATCGAGGTAGTCCATTCATTTTCAAGGTCATAGAGAACAAGAAATGTTTGAACAGCTTCCATGATGTCCTTCCATATTCTCGGAAAGTCAAAACTTACAGGTGGAAGAAAATGTCTCCTTGCGTAATGTGATAATGGAAAATATTAAGGGGGAGAGAACTTCGGACGCCCCCTCCCCGATTTGTTTATCGCAGGGCCACGTGTTTTTCTGCGTCGGGCCTGTGCGCCTCGACGTAGTCAATCACGTTGTAAACTTATTGCGCCTAAGCCTAAGAGAAGATAAGATGGCAGTCAATGATAGAGCTGGATTTCCATATCATGATGGGAGGCGAGCTGGTATCCCATCGGAACCGGTTACCCTTGCCTCCTTTAACCTCCCTGTCCTTGCCGAGGCGCATTGTCGGTATGTCGGAATTGGATTCGTTCGCGAGCACAGATGCATTCCTTATCCCGGTCATGTCTATGCTTTTTGCAAATAACTCCCTTTATCCTTTAGGGACCAGATCGGATGTTAATTTCTGTCGCTGGTTTATTAATAAAAAGCCTTCAGATTATTCTTAGCATTAATGGCTAGCCGAGGCTCTCACTCCTGTTTCTCTGACCTCATTTTCCTCTTGAATGATCTCGTACTAACCCGAAATTCCTGGTTCTCCGCCTGATTAGTCGTGCGCCTATACGAATTCCATTTTTGTATTATGCAATCTCTTCACTTCTTGTGATGTAAATCTCCATAAAATATAAAATAAGGATTTTTAATGACTCTCGCCACCCCCTAACGCGTCACTTTCAAATTATCACTTCCCAATCGAGACCCAAATCGTACTCCCGTAATCATATTATTGCGTGCTCATGCCTGCTGTTTTTCTCTCCATGACCTTTTTAATGAAAAATTTATCAGAGAGATGATGCGACTGATGCCGCATAAGCGGTGTATCCTCAGCCGTACAAACAATTTTCATTTCTTTTTTTAACCAATAAAAAAATAAACAATGAATCTGAAAGAAAAATAAATTCAGTACAATTGAAAGGATATTCTACTTTCGCTAGCAATCATTCGTGATTCTTGAGGTCTCATCATAGTGCTGACCCCTAGACTGACATCTAGCAGCACATAATGCACTAAATGATTACAAGGGCATATACTTTACATTTTATATAATGCCTGCATTTACAGAATAACCCCCTTACAAGATACACAAGCACAGATTGACTGAAACCTTGGGAGATCTACGGGCAACTCTGTCACATGTGTCATGGTTTCCCCCTGAACGCCGCCGTTGACATGCGATCTTTGAAAGAGTCCAAGATTCCTAACTAGGGTGACGTAGAGGAAGTGAGTGATTTTGAGACCATTCATTGAGTTTAAATCCTCCTTTCAGTGTCACGTGGATATCCGCCCTCTACATTGAAGCGTGGAACAGGCATCGGCTTGTACGCCATGGTACTTGGACAATGTGCTTGCTATTGCCATACCTATCTCCCTTGATTGGTTATGATTTCTTAAGAGTGACCGAAAAATTTTAAATCTGATTCTGAGATCCTCAGACTCAGGGGAGCAGTGTTTTTACGTCCTGTTCTTCCTGATTATTTCTCCTTTTTGGCGTAGGCCTGTATGAACTTCATACTTTTTCTATTGACTTCATTCTCCTATTGGCGCATATAATACAGGGTGAACCAAAAAAAAAAATTAAACTATTATTTTTGGCGAGTCATCAATCTCTTTGCAGGCTGCCGATTTTGGTTAAAATTGGTAGGTGTATAAGGTGACATAATTGGGAGTTTGTATACCAAACTTCAGCCATCTGTCTTTAAAATTAGGCAGTGTCTATTGGCCGAGCTGGCTCAACCCTGACTTAAAGGACGAGCTAGAAAGCCACCTGACTTGTGACATCTCAGTTGATGGGACCAATACTCCATAGAAGAGAGCTCGGCCTTTAAGTTGTGGCTGAGCAGATTTTCTGAAGAGGAAAAGAATTTGTACAGTTAGGCTTAAGTCCTAAAAGATGTTTATTCTAGAGTGATAGCTTTCATCATATTACTAGTGCCATGTGCACTTTTTTCAGCAACTTCAACTGAAGAGTAACTATTAAGATGCAGGATTCGACAAAATCCATAAATTCTATATAGTTAAGGTATAGGGCTCACTCAAGGCCCTAGTTGTGTGTAGAGAAAAGACCCCTCAATGGGTGATTTCAAAATTTGATTTCAATTTACCCTTGTTCCAGCATGAGACATCTTAAATTAGTCAAGTCGCATGTCTTCTACTTCCTAACCTGACATAAGACCTTTTAAACAACCATGACATACTACAATAATAAAGAACTGTTTAGTTTTGTGCTAATGAGGTGAAAAAGATTGCTCAAAGTTTTCCCACAAGCCAAACGAAGCAGCTTCCTCTACCTTGCAAGACATGCCTGTGTTTGGTGGGCTGCAGGAACCTGTATCCTGTTAGTAGTGATGTTAGAGATCATTATAGGCTCAGCCTTGAAGTCGGGGCTGAGCCAGCTCGGCCAATAGACACTGCCTTAAAATTATAGGAGTTGTGATTATTTTCTGATGACCAACGTGCCAACGACAAAACGTGCTGTCAATAAGATTGATACAACCTTGAGACCGGGATGAAAGAGAGGTCCAATTTATAGACCTTCCATCCCTGCATAATGCTACAAAGGAAGATTGGGAAGCTCGGCCTCAAAGGTTTATTCACTGAGCCACTGATCTATAGTGTCCCAGACTGTGGGCTTGTGTTCAACATAATGGAGGGCACATTGAGCACCTTTTCAGTTGAAATGTCCACAAACTCAATTATGTGCTTTCGTGTTAGGCACCTGTTTTTGTTCTGTATGTTTGCTTGTTTATTTTTGTCAGTTGTGAGAATTTTCATCTATCTTATCTGTCTGCTCAAGAACCTGTTTGTTGACCAAGAGGCAACAGTCAGAACTGATTTTGGAGAAACCAAGTGGTTCAAAATAGGAAAAGGAGTATGCCAGGGCTGCATACTATTGCCTTATTTTTTCAACTTGTATGCAGAGTACATCATGCGCAGTGCTGGACTGGAAGAAGCAGAAGCTGGCATCAAAATCGGCAGGAGGAACATCAACAACCTTAGATATGCTGATGACACCACCTTGATAGTTGAAAAGGAGGAAGATTTGAAGGAGCTTCTGCTGAAGGTTAAAAAAGAAAGTGCTAAAGCTGGCTTGTTGCTCAATGTTAAAAAGACCAAGATAATGTCAACAGGCTATATCACTCAAGTGAAGATAGATGAGGAAGAAGTTGAAGTAGTTAAAGATTTTGTATTCTTGAGGTCGATCGTCCACATGGATGGTGATTGTAGCCATGAAATAAGGAGACGCCTACTTCTTGGAAGGAAAGCCATGACGACTCTGGATAAAGTGATCAGATGCAGAGACATCACACTGTCGACAAAAGTACGGATTGTCAGAGCCATGGTTTTTCCAGTTACAACATATGGCAGTGAAAGCTGGACAATCAGAAAAGCTGAAAGGAAAAAGATTGATGCTCTTGAATTGTGGTGCTGGAGGAGATTGCTTAACATACCATGGACTGCAAAGAGAACAAACAAATCAATATTGGACAAAGTGAAACCAAAATGCTCTTTGGAGGCATCAATAGCAAAAATGAGGCTGACTTATTTTGGTCATATAATGAGAAGACAAGACTCATTAGAAAAGACATTGATGCTTAGCAAAATGGAAGGAAAAAGAAGGAGAGGACGACAGAGAACACGATGGTCGGACACTATCTTGGAAGACACACAACTGCGGCTGCGAGAACTGAAGGAGTTGGCCATGGATAGAAAATGCTGGCGAGACCTTGTCCTTCAGGTCACCAAGAGTCGAACATGATTAAATGGATAAAACACACACACATAGGTCTAGACCTGGGGTGCACAACTCAAAAAGACTGTGAGGGCCATTTGTGATTTTTACTCACCTACCATGGACTGCAGTCTAGCTGACTATAGCTGTGGCCAACAGGGCAGGAGCCCTAGTAGCACTTACTATGCCACTTGTCATAGCAGGCTGTATATTGTGCAGGAGACCCTTAGTCTAAGCTAACACTTGACTTGTCTAATTTTAAAGGTGATGTCAATTGCCTTCTGTTTTAACAGGCAGCCAACTATTCTTTCACAGATTTCAGTTGGTCTGGTGATGAAAAAGGCATCATCCATGCTGTGGCCCTCTAGCTCCCTGCAGAAACAATATTCCTCTTTGAATCTGGAGGTGGTGACTTATGTGAGGATTCAGGGCTAGTCATAGAATCTTCTGCATTAGTAAGTCCAAGAGTGCATCTTTGCAAAAAGTTGCCACTGATGTTTCTCTCCATAAGCCTACATTACACTATGCTTCTTTGTCTTAGTGATTGTGGTGGTGGACAGGTACAGTTCTTATCTCAAACATAGGTGAAACCAAAGACCTGGAATGAGGAGTTAAATATTCCTAATGGTTTTGCAGCTTGTTATGGTCGTTATAAGTTGTCTGAAGGAAAGCAATCTTGTTTTCCATACCTATAAGGCCTTTGCCACCAAGTAGCAATGTCATTATTAGGCATTTAGTCCTGCTAGAGAGGATCTTAATTGTCTAGGATTTGGCCAATATGCAAACAGTATGGAACTTGTGGGAAATTCATATTTGGCATTGATAATGCATCTTTTTACAATCATGTCCTTTTAAAAAAAAATTTGACAGTTTGAAAAAAAAAATAGAGAGGGTGATGGGCTAACGGAATGATTTACACAACTGCGATATGCTTGCAACAGCCTATGCATTTTTTAATAGTAGTTACAAATGCACAGCTTAGATCTCTCTGCTTCAGGATCAGTTAAAGAGACTGAATCATGGATACCAGATATACAGGGTGTCTGAAAAGTCACTCCCTATTTTTAAATTGTTATTGCTCCTAAACCAAAGGAGATATTGAAAATTTTCTTTAACCGAATTGAAGCTTATTTTTTACAGTTTACTTTATAACAAAATTGAAAAGCTTTATTCAATTCAGTTAAAGAAAATTTTCAATATCTCCTTTCGTTTAGGAGCAATAACAATTTAAAAATAGGGAGTGACTATTCAGACACCCTGTAGATGTTCAGCATGTGACAAACAGTATCTAGTGCATGTCTAATTATGATGAAATAGATCTTGAGCAGAAAAGGTTTCATATAGGTATCCCCTGGAAATGCCAGAGGATACCATGGAGAATGAGGACTACAACTTCGAAGATGAGAGCATTGGTGATGCAGAGAATGAGGGATTTGCAGACCTAGATATCCTGTCCACTGAACTTCAGCTCCGGGAGAAGCTGAACTCCCTACGAAGAGAAAAGGAACATTTAGAGAAATGCCTAGCTTTGAAGGAGAAAATTGAGCATCTACAAAGGGAAAATGAACGTTTAGGGAAGTGCCTGGCCTTGAAGGAACAAGAAAAGAAACGTTTGGAAGTGATAGTTGAGCAGAAGACGTTCCTCAATGAGAAACGGGAAGCCATGAAGAGTGCTCAAGAAGGTTCTAGTCGAGTTCCAGTTCATGTTACTTTGCTGGAATATGACCCTCGATTCCAGTCCTTGGATGACAACCCTGCTCAAGTGTCCAATCATGGCCGAAAGAGGTCCCATGCCCGTAGATGTCAGTGCAAATGTCGTCTTGCCACACAGCAATGCTGATTCCCTTAGAATTCCCCCTTGATATGACTAGTGGGCCTGGCCAGCCATCCAAATTTTTGTTTGTCATCATTCAATGTGTACTATTTTATCAGGGATCCAAACTGTGATCAAAGCTTGTGGTTTGCATTATTTTTGTATTCATCTACAAGGGATTAAAAAACTGGATGAAAATTAGAAAGGGTTCAGGATGATACTCTGGAAAGAAAAAAGATATATATTCTTGCTATGTGATCTCATGAGAAGAGTGCAATAAAGAATTTTTTTTATATCTCCTTATTAGGCTGTGACTCTTGAATGCACCTCAATCTATACTACCCTACCTCTAGGGCCTACTCCAGTGGAAATTGTAAGAAACACCTAAAATATGTATTTCTAAGAAAACTTTCACATTTGTCAAAGTGACATTTCATAGCTTGTAATGAGTATGCCTGTGGATAGTAGTGAAACTGGCCACCCAGTCTGTAAAAGAAAATATATTTCCTATATAGACCCAGCCTTTCTATTAATACTATGATGGATTGATGATATAATGGATGATGATGGGAGTTTTTTTACATTGATAAAAGGACATTATTTGCTACACAGAAGTGGATTTTCCATCATGTTGAACAGTGTAACCCCAGGGCCAGCAATCCAAACTTGTGTTCCTAATAGCTATCACCTGCTTGCACACAGACAGGAAGATGCAGTTGTCACTGCTGTATACTGGCATTGATAAACTCGGCAAATCAAGTGCATTCCATCCACCAGTCACCAAAACAGCACCATTGTTTATTACTTTTTTTCTCTAACTTGTTTGACACTTGATGAATTACTAGCTGTCTCTAAAACGATGTCCCTTGGATTATTCAGAATTTTATCCTCTTAAATGCCATGAAAATAGTGATGCTTAGTGATGAGGATGTTTTTTATTTACTTACAAAAATGTATTTTTCATGGGTGCCTTATGTTGTTGCCAATGCTCTAGTTTTTCAGAGATACAATGGTTTCCTTCTGTTACTTGGAAGTATTGAATATATGGAATTTTTTTAAGTAAGTGTTCTCAAGCAATATTTACCGGGAAGAGTTTAAAGGAAAACTGCACCCTTGACACCCTAACTAAATGTATTATAAGTTGTATAAGAAAATTCAGTGTTGGCCTGTCATCCACTAAGGAAACCAATGAGAGGAAGCTTCCCCTAAGTCCCAGTAATGACAGGGTTTGGAAAGTCTCTCCTTCCAAGTGTGAGTATAACAAATAATTTCATAGTTTGCTAAGCATTGGGCCTCATGCCCATTGATAGTGCTCAATAGTTATTTTGAGCACTTCACTAGAAACAAGAGTTTTTTAAGTGTTGCTAAGGTATTCTGCCATTGGAAAAGATTCATAACTAAGAAAGATATACATATCAGATGCATATTTTATATGTATGAATCTATTGGCCTAGGTTGTACTGAATTGGAAATTTTTAGGAAGCTAACTGTCTGTGGCAATTGGTACACCTAGAAAATATAATTGTTCTTAACATGAAACTGCTAACAAGGCAATAACTTGTCAGTATATTACTAATTAAGTTAACCTAGGAGGACTTAAATCAAATTCTGACCTAGTACAGTAGGATCAATAATGTTATTTTTAAAAATATGAAATTAATTATTTTTACTGGCTATGGGAGAAGTTTTCTGAAACCTGTTATTACTGGGACTCAGAAAAAAAATTCTTTAATGGGTACCTTTTGGAAAATTTAAGATTAGCTTCAATTTTTGCTCTAATTGCTAAATTACTCAACAAGTTTCTTTAAATTTACTGATATCAAAACTAATTATATTAGTGATCTTTTCTATCCCAAGAAGAGGAATACTACTACTCTCTCTGTTTATAATACAATTAGAAAGAAAGGAAGTCACACAATTAAGACTGGTAAATATCAGGCTCCATTTTTAAGTGTGGAAAACACAATGAGTCCAGTTACTACACAAAAAAGTGAAAGTTACACTAAGGTTACTTTTAATCTGTAAAAGTCTTTGAAAAAGTCAAGCAGTAGGTAAAATTCTTATTCAGTGAAATGGATGTTATCCAAAAGAGGTGTCTTTGAACTATAGAATTAAGAATTCCTTTGATTGACTGGCTGTTGAAAGATTTTCATGATTTTATCAATGCATGAACATGCCAAAACCATGCAGCATATGTTGGGTAAGAGAAAAAAGTAAATTCATGAACCCAGTAGTTGCACTAAGTTTCTTGCTGTGTCTCATGCTGCTGCCCCTGATAATTAAGGGGGTTACTTTCCAAGTGAAGCACAAGAGAAACTTTATAGGTTTCCCAAAAGCTAAAGTCCTGCAATCCATGTGTATTTGTCAACTTAATGTAACCAAGGAGTATGATATCCAATCCAGCAGTCTTAGGCCTTCTGCCTGTGTGTTCCAGGACCCCTGGGATGCATGGACAGGAGGCCAGGGCAAGAATCTTAGCACAACCCCTGGAACCTAATTTTTCTAAGACTCATGCTCTTTATCAAGAGCTAAATTTGAAGCTGATGTCATACTGAGGCTCCCTAGCATATTTACTTTCATCTTGTATCCTACTAAATAAGCCCTTAATGACCTGCTTACCTTGCCTTGCTATTCCTCCAAGGAAGTTACTTCTGCTTATTGGCTAATAAAATATGGTAGTCCCCATGGTGAGCATGCTTCATCCAGTTGGATGAAGGCAGAGAAAGAAAAGAGATTTGCTGCAACTTAACCCTTTGCAGTCCACTGTTCAGAGTCCTGACATTAGATTTTTCTCTAATCTGTCCCATGTTTGGCCTCCCTGACACAAAGTTACACTAATCCAATCTTGTCAGGTGAGACCAAACATAGGACCCACCAGAGAAAAATCAATGTTGGGGAAGCCCCAATAGAGGACCAGAAAAGTTAAAGAAAGCTTAAAGCCTACATTTTATTTCACTCTTTGCCAAGAAATACTGATCGAAGAGGGGTAATGATCATCCTGTGATCCCTTTGCAACCCTAGGGCACTACAACACACAATTTGAGAAATGCTGACCTACACTGTTTGAAACTTAGGATTTGGCAATTTCTCATAACCCTTGATGACCCAGTTTTTATGAATAAATTCCTGTCTGCAGTGCAGCAGCATTTGGACCACTTAACATTGATTGACCTCATGAATTCTTACAGGCTCTTCATGGTAAGTGGCAAATCAACAGTGATTTGCATCATTTGTCAGCAATGGAGATTCTTGCTGCTCATAGCCTATTTGATTAGGCTAACAAGACAGCCCTTCAGCAAGCAGGAAGGACCCTCCTATTCCTGAATGACCTAGAAAAAGGCTTCATGATGGTATTATTTCAATCCCACATTAAGTTGCATGACTGCTGCTCTTTCAGCCTTTCCTTTAAATGGGGGCATTGTTGATTAAGTCTTCTCCATTCCACCAGATGCAATCACTAGATGATGCATTACATAAGCTTTTTATTTTGGACAAAATGTATAAAACAGATGTTCCTGCTTTTTCTTCTGATTCAGCTGCTCTATAAATTCATTGAAACTCTCACTCTTCCAACCAATCAGAGAGTCTTCCCATCAAAGGAGAGGGAAACTTTATTATTAGAATTTGCGGATATTGAAATCAAAATGTGAGGATGTCATGGGCCTTCTTCTCCACCAGCATCTCCATTGCCTGTATATCCCGACACCAAGTGTCCAGGCGATTGATCATCACGGAAACCTGAGGAAATAAATTTTCGTGTATGAGGATGACTGCACAAAATTACCTATCCAATATCTTTCACAAAACTCACTGAAGCACAATATTCCGTGATTAAAAATCACTACCATGGTCACATCAAGCATGATGGGTTATGTATGGTCAATCATGATGACCATCCATTGTGACCCAAAATCCAGATGCAAAAACACAATGGTTATGTTTGTTCTCTCTTACAATGGGTTTGAAGGAAGTTTGGGATAGGGAGAGAAGCCAGCTTCAAAAGTTGTTTTCTGTGTACAGATTTACAATTTTATTGCAAATAAAATTGTAAATCTGTACACGTGATCCTTTGCTCGCAACATAGTATGTCATGGGCTTCAGTCATGCTTGGTTCTGGTCTTCACCACCTCTTGTGAATTATAGTTGTGATTTTAACTAAATATTAATGCTAGGCTAAAATTGATTTTCATTCTTGATATTAGATTCGGGATGTACTCTGTGCACTAGGGCAACAGAGGCTCCCCATTATCATGAACAAAGTTGATTAGTCCTCATCCCAGTGTGAAAGAGAATAGCAGTACTGGAAGCAATACTCAAGCATGATTATGAACAATGTTAGGAGCACACAATAAGACCAAGAGAACTCTTCATACCCCTAATGTTGTTGTCCAAGGTTATTTTTTGGGCCCCCCTCCCTCCTTCACTTCTGACAAAAGCTACTAGACTAGCTACTAATGAATAGAGGCATAGTGCTGAACCCAGGTGCAAAAAGTAATCCAGAAGAGAATTTTTGGCCTGAACTACACTGTAGTCTAAAAATAGGAGCAGCTGGAATTCTTCAAGAGAAAGATGTCAGGAATACCTGTTTCTTATCTAGGACACGAGGCTGGACCCAAGTCATGTAGACCTTTTGCTCAACCTGATCAATGTATCCTTTAACCAAGTTCAGGGAGAGAGCCTTCATAACCAGAAGTTCCACTTCTTCAAGGGGAAGAGAAGTCTCTTGACATATCTCTTGGAACAGCAGCTGTCGGTTGTTCGCAGGCCTTCGAAAAGTCATCTACAAGCAGAGGAAAAACTATTCATTTGGGCTTCACATGACCAAGAACTTCTGAGTGCCTGCTTATAATAATAAAAAAATTGACCTCCATTAGGGCAAGGAGACAGATCTTCTGGCGAAGGAAAAGCTCATTGGCAACCAAATCAGGCTGCTGAGACCAACTTGAGCGCAATTCCTCAAACTGCTTCAAACTGCCAGAGTTGAACACAAATAGAAGATCCACAATCCATTTATTTGATGTCTTCCTCAATGCCTCAAGAATTGGATGAGCCAGCTGCAATGAAACACCAAGCATTAAGGCTGAATAATAAAAAAATGGGAAAACAATTGAAAAATATAGCCATAACAAACAATTGCACAAAAATCCCATTAAATCTTTATGGCAACATAGTTGTATGATTCCCATTCAAACACTCATTATACAGACCCTTGTCAAATAGACACCATTTTTTTAAAGTAGGGTCATTCCATGTCAGCTCAACCAACATGGTTGCTTGATGGATTAGCTTAAAATTTGGTATATATAATGATTCTCCCTAATGGGAGAATAAGTCTGACTAAAAATTTCAGTTCAGTCTATTTGACAGTTTTGAAAATATTGCCTCCCAAAATTTCGGGGTAAGAACTTATAAATAACTGAAACAAAAACCAGTGAAAAGTGAAGTCAGAAAACTTTTGGCATGGAACTAATTCCTAAAAAGTGAAAAACATACAAATTTGGTAATGGGCACAAGAGGTGGAGATACAAATTATTTTACATACTCTTCATGCATCCATTTTTATACCAGTTTCAGGTTGAACAAAGTTCCAAAAATGTTGAAGTTGTATCTCCACCCCTCAGATGGAAAAATCTCCACTTAACTTTGTCTGACTCTTTTGTCAAAATGCATAACATTAACTTGTGCAGTTAATTTAATGTTTCATAGATATATTGAGAATTCCCTTTTTGGAAGAATTTCATTTTAGCTATTAATGGGTCTAATCAGACCACCAGTAAAGAAGTTCACATTTCTATGTTACCCCCAAATTTTGGGGAATCATATTTTAATTACTGTTTCACAGATTGTACTGAAACTTCTGGTCATGCCTATCTTCCCTTAAGACATCATATGTACCAAACTTCAAGCAATTCCATGCAGGTTGAACAACCATCTAAATTGAGTTAATATAGAAAGACCCAACAACAAAAAAATGCCTCTTTACTTATGACATGGCTCTCTTCATATGATTTAACTCAACTTTGAATTAAATGGTGCATATTCCTAGAAGAGGTGTGGAAATCAACACTTAAGACACTGATACATTTCTGAAGATTGTCCTTTAAATAATATGACTGACATTACTGCATTGCTCCTATTGGTTATATCGCAAACTAATAATGATAGCTTATGCAAGCACTTCTTGCAAGTTCTTGTGTGAATTAGAAGGATTTGTTTTATTAGCTTCATCAAGCCTCTCTATGCAGCCCTGTATATTTGGGAGACCAGCAGATGATGATGAAAACTGCCAAGCCTAATTTTTCTACATCAATTGCACAGCTTTTACTATTGTAACTATCCTTGTATGCATATACAAGTAATCAGAAGGGGAGGCATGAGACTGATAAAGAAAAGTGATACATATGATATGAACATTCACCGATAAGAAAAATATGTAACCACATCCCAGTTATTGACACAGCCTTAGCATTGACTCTGGACTCATGATGCAATCTTGTCACTGAATCCTCACCAATTCTCCAAAGTTATAGACTCCCTCTCCAAGTAGGGCAGCCAGGCCAAGGTAGCAAGCCTGTTGAACCTTCTCCTCATCACCCAATGTATCCAAGTTTATGCATCCAAGGTAGCGCAATGCAGATCTGTAATACTCAGCATGGTTCGCCTTGATACGATAGAAGTCACTGTATAGCTTGTAGAAGCGACCATGGACATCTGTCACCCCTTCCAGGTCATTCAAGGCCTTCTCTGAATCTTCCAACAGTGTCTGTCAAACAAACAAAAAAAATCCAACTTTGTACCCTGTTTTGTGAGAATTCTATAAAGAAAAGTTGAATCAAAAAAGACACATACTGCTTTTGAAGAATAAATATAGATAATCTTTTGTGAAAGTTAATGTCACAGGGTTCCAACATGAGAAAATAATCTAGCTGAGGATCACAGGGCCATGAGAGCTGAATATGAATGAAAAAGAATATTCAATGACTGATGACCAGGAAAATTTTGAAGGGAAGAGAAATAAAATATTTGGGTCATTGTAAGCTTCTGCAACTTAATAGGGTAACAGGGTATATTTTCACAATAAGCTAAGTTGAAGGTCTCACTGGCAATGGAATGGTCAGCTATGGCTATTATATGAGTGAAAGGGTTTAACAAACCATAAATGCCTCACCTTTGTGGCAACTAGGTCTCCATTTTTATGGAGAAGAATTTGTCCACGAAGGACTTTCAAGAGAAGGACTGCCTCTGAATGTGCCTTGACCTTTGCCTCATTCTTCTCCAGGAATTGAATGGCTTCTTCTGAGCTGGGAATTTGCTTTGCAACAAAACTCAGCATTTGAACCAATGCCAATGGGTTTATCCTAGAGGGAATTAAAGATGATGACATGATAAAAACCAGACTCTCAGTTTTGCCCTCAGTCAGCAATGTAAAGGGCTCCAATGGATCTCCCCATAGACTGGACTCAATATTTTGGCCAAAAATACTTCTGACTTTAATTTCTGTACTACATGGACATCTCACTATTTTATTTTAAAATTTGTTTCTTCCCTTTCAAGCAAAAGGAGAGAGGAGCAGCACCAAATATTGCTGTCATATGCATGTACAAAAAGTACAAAGTAAAAGTAATTATCACCCTGGCAACTTGCTCATTTATTTAATTCTGCCCTATCTACAATGGAATACCATATCAGGGGTCCTTATCCTTAAGGTTAAGATGGTACCCTGTCAATCTTATTTCCCTCCAGTTCAGAAATATGACTTAATTGAAACCATGCACCACTACATCAATAACAGGAGAATTTCTTCACAAAAAACAGCGACACTGTAAATCACTCATAATCACTTTAGTTTTAAACAGCATGAAAGCTGTATAAGCAGCATAAGCTTCTTGTAATGATGAAAAAAAAAGCAGCTCCAGCTCCAATCAAATGAGGCAGTATTGAGATTAGGAAACCAAAACTGCTGTCAAACTTTGTTACATCAGTAATGCATCATAAATTGCCTAAAATTTCTTTGTCCATGATAAAAAGAAAGCTTTTGGCAGCAATTGGTTGCAAAAAAAAAGTATTCTGTCATGTACTAATGATGTGAAGTTCCAGAACTTGACTTTCTGCGAAGAACAGAGCCACAGAGTCATTATTATTATCATTTGGAGTCTAGTATTACCTCAGTAACTGGAATTGCAAAGTAATAAACACTATGAAGGAGTTAATGACCATATCATAGACCAGGGGTGTCAAACTAGCAGTCAGCAGGCCAGATCTGGCCTGCCAATTAATTCTATAGCACGTAAAGTTCTCTTTGACAGTTGTTTTTAAAAAAGTGATGCAAATTTCAACCTCTTCACCTTAAAAATTGGTGTAAGACTTGTTAGTGTGGTCCCCAACTAGCCCTGATGGGTTCCATCTGGTCCCAGCTTAATTGAATTTGACACCCACCTTAAGCCTACTGTCACATGAAAAACTTCATAAAAGGGCAGATACTCACTTCGTCTCAAAGTCATATGTGAAGTTCTTGTAAAGATCCACCAGCCTTTGCTCAGACTGGAAGAAAGGATTCTGGGTAACACTCTGCAGTTTCAATGTCAGCTGATGCCACAACCTGGAACATGACAGTCACCATGCAAGTTCACTTTGGCCTTTGTTGAGAGATCCCACAGGAAAATCCCAATCACTGCTTTCAGATTGATTTTGTCAGCCCCTCCATAGGACCACTCCCATAGATGGTAAGTGGTGACATATTTGACATAGATGGTTTAGTGGATCATTCACTGGAGTGTGTCCTCTGGGAGTAATGCTTCCTGTTCACTACTTGGGGGAGGGGGTACTAATTCAATCCAAAAACAATTTGAAACATTTCTCTCATCTCTGAAACCTTTCGGTCTCGGTACAAAGTTGGTATGCCTAAAATGAAATAAGTCAGCCAACATGTAAAGACTCTACTAGACCTGACAAGTATGAATAAATGAAGGTAACCCACTAGTTTCTGAATAATGAAATGTGCAGATCTAATGTTAGGCCTACTACAAAAACAATGAAAACTTTGATGTAGGCCTTCAGGCCTAATGCATTTCTTTAAACCACGTTACAGACCGATCAGAGGCTCAAGAGCAAATAAGCATAACAAACCTATTGGTTACGGTGTACAACTTTACACCTTCACTAATTTCATCCTCACTCCTGCGAGACGAGTCATTGCACTAGCACAGTTAGTGGACCCCCATTATTTTATCCTACGTTCGGTGCCAACGGCGGGTCAAACAGAAGGCATGCGGCTCCCTTGGTATGTGTTTATAGCTAGTTCTTATGCGGTGCACTAAAGTTTAGTGAAAACCCAAAAGAGTTGTTGAAACGTTAGTTTGAGTATCGAGCCCCAAAGTGATTACTTTATTCCGTGGGAGTATAAGCAATGGCGCTCACTGTTCAAACAAAAATGGTCAATATCTAGGGTGTAAAGTTGTACACCGTCCTCAACCCATTCAGGCAATTTTAGCAGGGTCTTAATGCACTCCATGGGCTAATTATTAATCATTCCTCGGAGTGGAGTTCAATTGATAGGTGCATTTATCTTAAATATGGAAGAGCCCAGGAAACTCACTTTTTCTCGTAAAGCTTTTCAAGTTCGGCAATTTCCAATTCCAGGTTCTCATCTATAATTTGATTCTTCAAATATCCTAATCCCTTTTGACTTGGAGCATCGCGAACTGCTGCGGATCCGGAGGCAGCCATGATGACGACTGTGAAGCATTTATAGAGGTGTGCTCTGTACGAAACGTACCTGAACTAAAGAGAGATGTCATCAAGAAGAGTGTATTTGACCTCTTCGAAACTGAGAGTTCGCTGGACGGCTCCAGCCAGGCTGGGTTTTTCTTGCTTGAATTTTAGGTTTCTTTGTTATTCAGAAGTATGACATATATCAAATGCTTCTGTGCGCATTTCTGATTGCGATAACTCCGAATTGTTCTTGCACATCTTCAATACTATACCAGCGTAGCATTTGGAGACAAACTCTTAAACTTATATACATTGATTTTCGCTTGATTCCGTTTCTCCTACTGTGGCAGGAGTGAGAAGCACGTAATTCCCACTCCAGTCACCGGGAGGGGGTGAGGGGCAGTCATTAGATTAACGATCACAGTCCATTGTACTTAACTCTGATCAGAGGGCTGGAACTTTTAGTTTTGTGCATCGGGACTGAAAGAGTAGATATAAATGACCTGACGGCACTTACCCATATTTTAAAAGTTGTAAAAACTTTATAGTCTAAGGGAATGATGCTATGAACATTTACATGAGATAGAGCGCAAAGATTGAGAAGTAGAGAATCACAGAATTGCCAAAAGTGGCAAGAGGTTGCACACCAAGAATTGTATAATAATGTTGACGATAATTTCTGGAGAGCACACGAGCTATAGAGGGAATGACACCCACACTCCAGAAAGTGATGCTAGAGATAGGAATGGAGAGAGGGGGAAATCAGAGGCCAAGTTAACAGAGGATTGAAGTAGGTGTTGACAGGGCCGTATCTAGGATTTCATTTCGGGGGGGGGGGTTGAGGTCTGGCGTGTGGCAATTTTTTAAATATTTTAATATTTGTCATTGTAAGTCTTTGTGACATATCTAAACTTTCCTGTACGTTGCAGTGTTTAATTAGTCATAAGCTATTAAAGATAGAAAAGACCAAGTACTGCACCGTTTACACCGACGAATAGCAGTATGGCAAACATTTAAGGAAGATATTTCGGGGGGGGGGGGGTTTGAACCCCATGAACCCACCCCCTAAATACAGCCTTGGGTGTTGAGGTTTGCTTCCTGCTGGCCTCTAATATGTTAAAGGTAGAGAATTGCAGGTTAAGGAATATAATTATACCTATTGTAAATATTCTACCTATTGTATTTTATTAAAGATAATTTTCTTGACTTTCTATTAGGGTAAACCCCGGCAGAACACTTGGCCCATCCTCAAGATAGTGCTATTGCTATTTTTAATTTTTAGGATAAGTTGGAGTTTATTTACGATGCGCCAATTTGAGCAGGCACTCAGAGTGAGGAGGTAGTGACGAATGTGAGGGTAGACCGATGCATTGCACTCAAGGGGGGTCACCTCTCAAATCTACGCAGAAACGCATTTTTGGGGTGGAACGGCTCAGAATGAAGTACATGCTGTGTAGGTAGACAGGTGGCGAAGCGAGCCTGTGGCACGGGAAATCGTACAAGATAGTTGCATCGCGAAATCCGAAACTAAAGGAAATCCCCTATACACTAAAGAAAAAAAAACTCCTTTAGGATGAATTCTTTGGTGTGAATTCGACGTCCGGCAATCTCACATCGGATCGGGGCTATCATGAAAATCCTTTTTCAGGCACCATTATTCGCAATTTTTTCACTTTCCGTTCCTAACGATCCCGGTTCACCCTCATTGTGCATTTCCCTTGTTCAGGTGTCTCAGTCTAAAAGAGTTCTGGTAAGTATGAAGATCCTAATAGCCCACAAAGCACAGGTATACAGTATCTCAGAGATGTCCCAGGGCTTTCCCCTTGGCACAAGTGAGAAGTCTCAGGTAGTACTTGCAAGTGCCTTCCTTTCTGCAATGGACTTATTTCCCACCATTTCAATTATGTCTCTATTCGATCTTCTAGGAATAACTAATTTTTAGTTCTTGACTAATTGGAGAGTGACAATTATGATGGAAGAAAATTCTGTTCCTGAAAAATCCTAAAATAGGAGACATATCTCACAGGTATCAAATTTAGCACTCTCACACGAAAAGTCATTGATGAGAACATTAGTTCTAATGACTATGAAAACGTGTGAGCTCAGGTCTCCAACCAAGATAGTTGTATCCAGACATGCTGATCAGACATCGTTAATGAGAATATAACGGAAGAAATTGAAATTCGTACAGCAATTTTTTCACCTTCCCCAGTGACAGTCTTCCTGATGTACGGTACGAAAATCCTCACTTATCCTCAGGACAAATCAAGTAAATAAATTTCACTGAAACAATCTGAGGTTGGAGATCAGGGCCCACGGGAGACAACTACCGTCGAAGGTATGCACTGACTGAAGGCGTCAAAGAGCACTGAAGATGCCTAAAGACATCCCTAAGATGTCTCAAAGACATTCTCCTCAAAATATCAGCAAGCGTGCGACTGAAGATGTCTTCAAGATATCCCCTCCAGGATATCCAGAAGCATTCGACTAAGGATGTCTTAATCCCTTTCGAGATATCTCTAAGATATCGACTGAAGATGTATAAAAGACTTCTCTTAGATACCACGAAGACATCCCTTACGAGATGTCCGAAACTGTCCGAAAGATGTCCTCAGGATATCCTATAAAGACCAGGGGACAAGTCGTCCAGTTGGAGATATCCTTGGGATATCACCGTGCTGTGTGAGTGTTGCTGCGCTTCAACTTCCTGCCAACGTTGGGCCCACATTGGCCCAACGGTCACTTTTACGTGGGGCTTATGTGAATAACCTACGTTGGGCCAACGGTGTCGTATGTTTCTTGCCAACGTGCCTCTCCTGGGCCCCAACGTATCCTGACGTTGGAGGACCACGTTGGGCCAACGTGGGCCCCACGAAAAATGTTATCTGGGGAGGTTGTCATTCATTCTCATGATCGACTGCACCTTGCACCATTAGAAGCACGACTTATTTGTCACCCATTGCATCTCTATGATACAGAATTTTATCCATGTGACAAGTATATTTTCAGATTTATGTACCCGAATGATGATTCATCAGAGCCCTGAGAAGGGTGATATCATAAAAGGTGTTACAGATAAGAGTGCTCACCTTCAAGCATGGCGCCCATTACGCAGCCAAGGCGGAGACCGCGTAGTGCAAAAATCCCTCAACCTGCATCCCCTAACGAGAGGTTTGTTGGAATTTACGCACTCGAACTTTAAATTAATACGTATGAGTCGAATTTCATGATAACCGATTGTCATGCACGGGGGTGTGCGCATACCGTAGGAATACCCTAAGTAGTCACTGGATTTGATAGTCCCACCGTAGGAAATTAGGAAACACAAGTAAGTTGAGTTTCTTGGAATTGAAGTGAGTCTTTGGATGCTGAGTTTTGAATTTTACTTATGCATGGATTTTACTATTGAATCTAGTATTGATACAGGGAAACCTTCCCAACAAACTAAACTAAAATGTAACCGGGTTGAACCCCTTCCTTATCCACAAGACGAGGGTTCGGTACTACTTGCAGCTCGCCAAACTATTAAAAACAAGTGATCTAGCTGGATTTCACATTTCCACCATCTCAGGAGGGAAAGTGGGGAAGGGGGCTGATGGGGAATGGATAGTGGCTGGCTCTGTCCACTTTAAGGGTGTAGAGTGGTGAAGCCATGGAAACCTTTAAAAGTTTTTTTTGGTAGAGCTGGATTATGTTGGAAGGGAGACCATGCCAGTCTGCCAATGTTCTACATTGTTTTCAGATTGAATTTGTATCCAAGAGATTGTTCCAAATTGGAAAGTGGAAGCTAGAGTGGCTGTATATGTTACTCCATACTCGTGTATGAGGCAGTGGGTTCCTTTTGATTTGACAAGACCTTCTTTATGACATGAGATTGTGTTTACTTGCTTTTCTCAAATCTATATGTAGACACAAATTGGATTTCACTCCATCACCCCAGAACTCTCCATGTATACTCACACTTCTCTGAGAAAATTGACAAGAAATGCCCAAGCCAAAGCTCTTGCCCTTTTGCTATGCTATGTAGGCATGTGTGTGGAAATTACTTGCCCGAAAATAGGCCTAGACCTATTTGCATTATGTTGTAGCAGTTTAATATGTTTATGTTTATGTGTAGCAGTTTATGTTGTAGCAGTTGTAGCAGCACTGTCCATTTGAGCTCTGCCTATGGTACCTTCCCTGGACATGAATGTTGCCCTTGAGTTGCTCTTCTCTCTCCAGATTTAAACCAAGCTGTTGATGGTTTTGAAACCATCATCATGAAATCTTTGCTTAGTAAAAAGATTCAGTTGAGGCTGTTTCCTGGATAAATGGTTATTCAACCTAATATTTTTCAATATTTCTTCCTTGTCAAGGCTAAGACAATGTGTCCTGTGCTAGCATCTAGCTTATATTTACAGTTGTTCTCTTTGTCTCCTGAAATACAGGAATGATGAAAAGCCTGAAAAGAGTTGTTCAAGTGCAAAGAAGAGGAGGTCATCCAGATCACTTGAGCCTATTCTCAAGTACCTCCAAGAACCTTGTAGTCCAACAAATTTGGCACTCTTTCGAATCATCTTCTGTAAGTAGGCATAAGCCTGAGAGTACCTTTATTTTCTTGATTCTTAACTAATCCAAGACTTAAGGGGAATAATTCTATGGTCTTACCAGAATAACAATCAAGTAGGCATTTAATCTCTTGTGAATGAATATAATAGGCCTTTTTTCAGTCATTTGGCTTTCTAGTGCCTCTGAGAGACATGGTGTCTTCCTGATCAGTAATGTAATAAGTGTAGTGCTTTATGCCTGCTATTCCTTTTCTATGATCAAGGAGCACTGACATTTAGGAATGTTTACCATAGATTAGATGAATAATTACAAAAAATATCATCCAGAGTTTATATTCATGCATGTGAGGATAGCATTGCCAACTGTCCTGGTTTAGCAGAGGGATTCATTTTTTAATCCCATTTCTCCAGACTCTTGTAAACTGAACGCCAGGAGACCAGGAAGTTTTTTACTCTCAACTGTCGAGAGAAGTTGACATTCAGTGTCTGCTTCAGTTATGTCCTGTCCTTTTCAGTATCAATTGTAAGCATTCTCAGAAGATTTTCTGCAGTATGGGCCATTTTCAGATGAATGGAATTAGTTCTGATTTGCTCAGATGGTTTGTGTTGGAAGTTTGGTGTTACTTTCACATGGAGCTTGCTGGCATCTGTAATATGGTTTTAACTGATGCCAGAGGCACCCTGTTTATCATGAAGCTTTGAATAATGGGAGTAGGCTTTTTTGGAGTATTTTCTCTGCATTGAAGATGTTCTTTTCTCTTTGAAAACCTCCTTTCATTTGTTATTGTTGTATACTAGTATGAATTTTTGTAAGTAGGTAAGTTATCAAACAATTTCTGGAATAACATACAAAGGTAACCTGAGTTTCTATCTTCCCTTTCAATTCATAGGCTCAATGAGTCTCTTCTCTGGCTAGCAACTGTTTAAGTTCAAGTTCAGTTCTCATCCACTCAAAATTGCTTTCTTCTTCTGGCCTGCCAGCCTCAAGTGAAAGAGTCAAGGGAACCTTGAATTCTATTTGATCATATTTTCATGAAAGTAGAGATCATATTGAGTCCTTATCCCCACTGCATGTAAATGCAGCTCCCAATATACAGCTTAAATGAACCCTTTACAGCCCTAAAGATTGTGGTGATATGTAATATTCTTTACTCAGTAAGCTGAGTAAAGTGTATGTTGAATGTGACAAACTATTTCTACATTTCTTTCCATTGGCAAAATACATGTGTCTCAAATAGCCTATTCCCTGATGGTTTCTTTGACTGTAGGGAACACTGACACATCACTGCCATCTTCTTTCAAGGAAGTAGCATCATCAAGAGGGATTATTAGTAGCTCAATATGATAGATGGAAAGTAGAAATGCCACTAGTTAAAGATGCTCCTCCCATAATCTTCTTCCAGCAAGATTCTTCAAATTGATTTCCTGAGACACTGAAACAGTCAAAAGGAGAAGTTTGGGATGAACAGGCAGTTCCTTATGTGTCATTGCTTTTGATCATATACCATATCACCTTTATTGGATTGAACTGGAAATGATAACAAGAAATTTGACATGACAACATATCACTTGAAGGTCATTGAGAAATGCCATTCTGTCAAAACCTTATTCTCTCCAGGCTGACCCTACTTGCCTTGACCATCTCTTAGTTGGGGGGTCTTGGTGGGAAACTGATCTGGCTCTGAGATACCATTTTCTCTCACAAATTTGAGGTTATCAACCTTCAGGAATAACAGAGTAGAAGGCTTCATGAAAATTCATGAGTGGTAAAAAAGATTTGTCCATCATAATCATTAGACAGGTGAGTGCCAGAATTAGGCAGTTCTTAAACCAGTTTAAAAAAACAGGATGTTTTCATTTTGATTGTCTGCTTTTGAATCTTAGACACACTGGGCAGAAACAAGGCACCTGGAACAAATTTCCATTCATGCCACCATTGTGGAGGATGGTTCCACAGTGGTGTAGTAAATAGATNTTGTAGTCCAACAAATTTGGCACTCTTTCGAATCATCTTCTGTAAGTAGGCATAAGCCTGAGAGTACCTTTATTTTCTTGATTCTTAACTAATCCAAGACTTAAGGGGAATAATTCTACAGTCTTACCAGAATAACAATCAAGTAGGCATTTAATCTCTTGTGAATGAATATAATAGGCCTTTTTTCAGTCATTTGGCTTTCTAGTGCCTCTGAGAGACATGGTGTCTTCCTGATCAGTAATGTAATAAGTGTAGTGCTTTATGCCTGCTATTCCTTTTCTATGATCAAGGAGCACTGACATTTAGGAATGTTTACCATAGATTAGATGAATAATTACAAAAAATATAATCCAGAGTTTATATTCATGCATGTGAGGATAGCATTGCCAACTGTCCTGGTTTAGCAGAGGGATTCATTTTTTAATCCCATTTCTCCAGACTCTTGTAAACTGAACGCCAGGAGACCAGGAAGTTTTTTACTCTCAACTGTCGAGAGAAGTTGACATTCAGTGTCTGCTTCAGTTATGTCCTGTCCTTTTCAGTATCAATTGTAAGCATTCTCAGAAGATTTTCTGCAGTATGGGCCATTTTCAGATGAATGGAATTAGTTCTGATTTGCTCAGATGGTTTGTGTTGGAAGTTTGGTGTTACTTTCACATGGAGCTTGCTGGCATCTGTAATATGGTTTTAACTGATGCCAGAGGCACCCTGTTTATCATGAAGCTTTGAATAATGAGAGTAGGCTTTTTTGGAGTATTTTCTCTGCATTGAAGATGTTCTTTTCTCTTTGAAAACCTCCTTTCATTTGTTATTGTTGTATACTAGTATGAATTTGTGTAAGTAGGTAAGTTATCAAACAATTTCTGGAATAACATACAAAGGTAACCTGAGTTTCTATCTTCCCTTTCAATTCATAGGCTCAATGAGTCTCTTCTGTGGTTAGCAACTGTTTAAGTTCATGTTCAGTTCTCATCCACTCAAAATTGCTTTCTTCTTCTGGCCTGCCAGCCTCAAGTGAAAGAGTCAAGGGAACCTTGAATTCTATTTGATCGTATTTTCATGAAAGTAGAGATCATATTGAGTCCTTATCCCCACTGCATGTAAATGCAGCTCCCAATATACAGCTTAAATGAACCCTTTACAGCCCCAAAGATTGTGGTGATATGTAATATTAGTAAGCTGAGTAAAGTGTATGTTGAATGTGACAAACTATTTC